ATTATGTAAACAAAAACTTTTATTTTGGATGTGATTAATCGTGATTAATCGTTTGACAGCACTAATATAGATATATATATATATGTTTTGCACTACTGACCAGTGATAAGGAGTGATTAGGAGAGGCACTAATTTCCTACACACCAATATGTACTTTTAGGGGTCTTTCAAAAAGGACGTGCTTAAAGCTGTTTCTGTTTTTTTTTTTTTTTTTTTTTTTTTTTTTTTTTAAACTGTTCACACATTACCCAATAGCTATTGCAAAATATGATGATACTGACATTTTAGTTTGAAATTTGCTAACATTATTCTAATTTAAAACACGTTTGAATATGTGTATTAAAACATTGTGCTTGAGGGAATAGACGCTTGTGTGAATTCACTTTTTGGCTCAAAACCTTCTAGTTACCGAGATATAGTACGTGTGACAACTAGCCCCGGTCTCCCCCAAAAGTGCAGTAAATGCTATATTTGATTGACGATTCTTACCTTTATGCCATAACGCTGGCGCATTGAGACCCGTATGGACATGGTTATGGGTGGAACGATACCACAGAAATCCAGCAGGGGGAGACATAAACACTCACCGTATTTCTTTGCTTTTATACACGTGAAACACGCGAAACACCAGTAAGCAAAGCAGCCTGTTCGCAGAGAGGGACGCAAAAATTATATTTATTATAATGTTTTACATGGCTTCATAACACAATCTACACAATTCAATGCTTTGTAGGTGTAGTAGTCTGGATGTTAAAGATTTGAGCAGGTAAGTCAAAGCATAGGCTGTAAATTCAAACCCAGCCAGGGGTGAAACTAATTCAAGGGAACAGTCTCTGGAAGTTTAAGTTGGTTCTGATCTATGACAGAACGGAGTAGGAAATACTACTCAAAAGATATTTTGTGTTTCACAGAAGAAAGCAAGTTATGCCATGAGGGTTAGTAGCTACATAATGACAGAATTTAATTCCACTTGTCTTTGTATTTTATTCCAAATGATACTTACATTCAGGCACGTCATCACAACAGTCACAGATACCTGACCCCCACTGATCAGAATCTCTAGAGATCATAACAGGCTGTGGCTGCATGACTACCATTTGCTTTGACATGCTTACACCTAAAAACATACAACAGGCAGAGAAGCAAGATATGATTTCAGCATACAAATGTCACCATTATGAACTTTTAGTTGTGTTTCTGTGTAGTTATTTGCCCTCATTGTGTTCATTTCTTCATTAGTCCCCTTATTAGTTAACCACCGGCACCTGTGTTGTGTTCATTACCCTCTTTATTTAAGGTCTCTCTAGTTCAGTCCCTCGTTGGCTATTGATGTTTGTCAGTGTTTGTTTCATCCTTGCTTGTGTCTGGATTACCTGTTCTTCTGTGGATTTTGGATTAAAAACCTGTTTGGATTATCTTCTTCGTTTGTGTGCCTTGTATTGAAAACTTGCTAATGATTTCTTATATTATATACACACAGTAACTTATATACTACTGCTTAATATTTTTGTTGAAACTGATACCTTTTTTTCTAAATATTTGAAATGGACATATTTTGTGACATTATAAATGTATTTACTATCACTTTTGATCAATTTTATGAGTCTATGCTACATTAAAAAAATAAATAAATAAAAATATTTCTTACCCAAAACGTTTGAATGGTAGTGTAACACAATTTCCACCAAAAATATTAATCAGCATTTTTTTTTTCAACATTGAAAATAAATGTTTCTTGAGTAGCGAATCAGCATACTAAAATGCTTTCTGAAGGATCATGTGACACTGAAGACTGCTGAAAAGTCAGCTTTGCCATCACAGGAAAAAAATAGTTTTATATTAAAATATAAAATGTAATATTCTGAAGTTATTCTAAATTTTAATATTTCACAGTATTACTGTTTTTACTGTATTTTGTATATATATATAAAAAATGCAGCCTTAAGAGGCTTCTTTCAAAACCATTAAAAAAAATCTGAATTATTCCAAAGTTTTGACTGGCAGCATATAAATAAAATTTAAATTAAAATGATGATATATGTAAAATATTATATTATTAACAAAAATACTTATATTTTTTATTATTCATGTTTTTAAAGATGTTTTCCTCATATAAGAGATTACATCTTAAAATTTGAAGTGTTTACAGCTTTATGTAGCATTCAGATCTCACAAGTGTCCCAGTAAAATCTATTCGAGTCGTAATACAAAAGGTTAAATAATCTTAAAAATACTGCATATCTGTGTAGAAAATCTAAACTCACCTCTTTGTTGACTGTTCCAACGTAATGCAAAGTATCTGTTGTTTCTAAATATGTGATCACAATCTAGCCTTTATACTGAGCGCAAGACCATGTTAAATGAAAAAAAAAAGAAAAAGATCATCACACTGGCTCTCAAGGAAACCTCCTTAACCTGTTAGACCCGTTCACAGCAGCATCTTTCAAGCATTACACTAGCAAAGAAACACACACACACACACACACACACACACACAACAGGGTGGAGAACAAGACTGCATTGCTCCATTGCATATGAAGAATCCAGACATGCTTAATGTATAAAAATATATACAATAGGTCTTCATGAAACTTGTGACATGAATGCCCACACTCTCAGAAAAAAGGTACAAAAGCTGTCACTGGGGTGGTACCATTTTAAAAGCATATTAGTATCTCATTGTTAGTACCTTATTATTAGTACCTGCATATTAGTACTGTAAAGGTATTAGTACCTAAAGTATACATATTAGTACTTAAAAGGTATATATTAGTAATACATATTAGCCCAAGTGACAGCTTTTGTACCTTTCTGAGAGTGAACAAAGCAATTATTCAAAACCGCACAATAAAAACAGCCTCATAGAACAATATATCCAATATATATTAAGTCAAAAATATATCCAGAATGTTTAAAAAAAATGTCAAATGGTTCTAATGTTAAATTGAAAGGCCGTCATTGGGAGAAAATAGTCAAGCTACATCTCTAACAGAACAAAACCAAAAGACTTCCTCACTGAGATTCATATTCAGAGTTTATGTCAGATGAAAGCTGCGTTCGATTTTTAATTTTTTTGACAGGCTTCTAAACGTTCTCTGCTGAGGTAAAGAAATTCTGTTAGCAGCAGCATCCATTAAAAATTTCCCACAAGTGCCTCACACTCATTAAAAATGCAATATATTAAGGACGGACCCGGTAACATGCTGAAACTCATATCTTGACATCATGCAGAACAATTTAAATGATGATGAGAGTCATTGAGCAACTTTTGACAGAGGCTTTTGTTTCAAGTGTTTTAACAGTTTCCATAGACTCATAAGGAAATATCTGAAGCATTTTGCAAGTTACATAAGTTCACATGGACATTAGCCAGGGTAGGTGAACAAATAATTTCCATCTTTCATTCCTGCTTATTTTCTTCCTTATTGTTTGGTTTCTATCCTCTTCCTATTGCCTTTTTCTTTCTGACTCATCATGTGAGGCAGCATCTTTAGTTGTTTCACATTATGTATTTACTGAAAGCATGACTTAAAGATGCACAGGATGAGCGGTGTCCCCTTCAGTAATCTCAGAGACAGATTGCGATTGAAGATGAGCAGAGCTACAACTTTCTCTACGGATTTATTAGTTTGGTTCCAGGATTAAAGTCAGTAAATTGTAAACTGGAGTACAGGGCAGTATACAATAGTCATGACAGAAGGGGTGTAGGATTGGGATATCCCTGAGTCACGAAATCCTCTTCCTGTCTCTGTTGAAATGTTTGACAGAGACAACATCCCTAGTCTGAAAGTCCTATTGACTATTCAAATTTGGAACCAGTCATGAAGGATCCTTATGTGTTTTTCCTCATACAATTTCAACATTAACACAAAACAATAAGCAGGTCTTTCAAACTATAGTTCCAAATAGGATCAAATGTCCCCATAGTACTTAGGTACAATGTGAATGTATTGTGAATATACTGTGTGTGTGTGTGTGTTGCATGTATAGTACAGTATGTACTTTGCATGTACTTATTAGAATAATTACAGAAAATTATGCATTCAAGCAATTAACCAAATCCTAACCATACTTGTTATTAATTAATATTACTCAGTGTTTGCATATTTGTGTTAAATACACTGACAAGGACATCTTGAAATGTAACTATATATAAATATATACACACTAGATAGATAGATAGATAGATAGATAGATTGTACTTATTAGAATAATTACAGAAAATTATGCATTCAAGCAATTAACCAAATCCTAACCATACTTGTTATTAATTAATATTACTCAGTGTTTGCATATTTGTGTTAAATACACTGACAAGGACATCTTGAAATGTAACTATATATAAATATATACACACTAGATAGATAGATAGATAGATAGATAGATACCAACATATTATAATCATAATATATAACTACCCAACCTTATCTTTAACGTCTAACAGTAATTCAAGGAGCATGAGTGATTGACTAATGTGATAGTCAGAAAGAGAAGGTTTACGCCATCGGTCCACTGCATCCTTTGACTGGAAGACACACAGAGCGCGAAGACGGTCATTACCGAGGGATGCTGGTCAAGAGCTGAATAACGAAGTGGAATGAAACACGAGCTCACTGCAGAGACAACGACAAACTGCTAACACTGAGCAAACTGACACACCGGCCAACATATACACTGAAAATAACTGTTATATCCTTGCTACGTCCGTTTCGTCGTCCGCTACAGTTCTGAATGCTGTACTGTTGTGGTGGAAGGGAGAAGGGGGAGAAGGAGCACACGGGCGCGGAGGAGGCGTCGATGAGCAGCGGGGAAGCGGACACCGTCACCGCTGGAAACCGGGAAGAAACTCCAGCTGCAGGGATGTTTGACACAACGGATATGCCCGAGCTCCTACCGCTATCGGGGCAACTTCAACCGAGTCCTCGTGACTCGGTGTGTCAGATGCAGCATTTGCGGGTTGAGTTCAAAAGTGACTGCTTGAGCCCCGAATCCCCTCAACGGAGGTTAGGCCAGATGGCCCCCAAACTCGGACAGATTGGACGGTCAAAGAGAGGTCAGTAATGTTTTTCTGATCTTGTATGGTAAATAACCGATTTAAAAACCACATGTTTGTAGAAATATCAGCGGTGGTTTTTAACCCATATCCGAGACAACATTTAAGGGACCCCATGGGCTAATTTTCTTCTGGCATTTCTGACAAAGCTTCATGTTTTGAATTTTTATATATATTAACATAAACTACAAGTACCTGTAGGTTTAAATAACAAAAAACTTGGACAGATTGGACAGTCAAAAAGAGGTCAGATTAATTTATTTTGATAATTTATAATATTTTTTATAAGCATTTAAAGGGTAACTGGGTTCATAACAGGGTTGACAGTTTTATTGCTTGTTTATTTAGCCTTGTGCTCAAGGTTATGATATTGCAAGGTGTTTATTGGAAAGACAATTTAATGCTGATGTTTCTACAGCTATTTATTATACAAAATCATAACAGGGTTGACAGTTTCATATTTCTCTAAAGGCCATGTAACTGAGATGTTTATTAAGCAGAGAATTCTTTATATTTCTACAAATACCCAGTTCCCAAAAATAATTTGGACGAAGTCATAGATGTAGATTCAAGAATATCCCCTACTAACAAACTTCAAAAGATAAGATAAAAAGGAGAGTTTGTAATAATTGTTATAACTTATGGAATTACATATTTCATAGAATATTTATATATTAAATAAGATTACATCTTGTTCATTAATGTAATTCTATAGTGCTTTACTTACACTGTGCACAGTGTATCTGAACACTAAAGCATGACCCGAATTTTCATCTCTGTTAAAAGTAAGATGTGAATTTTATTTTATAGTGGTCATAGAGGATGAAGATCTTGACAACATCATGAACAACAACAACAACAGACCACTACCTGTCCCTCTCAGTAATGAGCCATCCTGAGGCTCTCTAGATTCGTAATATTCTGGACCAGCTATTCATGAAATGTGCCCTTCTGCCACGGGACAGTCGGGATACTTTCAGCAGGAGAAAAGTCAAACCCCTCTCCCAGTATCAGATTCACACAAGATCTGCATGCGTTTCAGCTGTAGTTTACTAGTCGCATGGCAGCAGCTGTCAGCCTGCAACAGGCCACACAGGTGATTTGTTGTGTAGTAGCTTTAGACCAGAGTTGTGTGTGAGGGAGAAATGTGCATATGTAGGCTGATTAACATATTTCTGACCAAAGGCAAAGACCAGCCACTGTAGATCACTCTTTCCAGGCTTGTGCTGTTCTAAAGATGTTGTCTTTCAATATATTTATTTAAACATTTGGCAAGAAGAACAGCACAATGCTCTTGTGTTTTACTTTGTCTCTCGAACTCTGGAAATGTATGCTGCTTCCTAAAGCCATGATTGTAACCTATTGTCCATGACAATATTCAATATTCAAATGTCAACTAAAAAGATATTTCCACTGGTATTTCTGACTTTTTTATTGACAGAAACTAGAAGTATATATAGGTTAAAACGATGATTAATTTCATGATTGCTGTGGGTTCAGAACTAAACTTCTTTGATAACTTTTTTTTTTTTTTGTATATAATCTTAAATCATCTTGCTCCCCCGTGGCTGAGAATTACTTTCCTAAAGGCTTTGCATCTCTTGCTGGTTAACATGCTTTTATGCCTTATGAAATAATGAACATTGCACTAGTTATAAATGTGAAAAGCTATGCACTTGCTTGATTATTGCCATGATAAGTTATTTTTGATGAAGTATGTAACAAACTTATATTAGTTGGCTGAATGATTCTGTGGCACGTATTAAGAATTTATATTATTTTATGTGTTGCTTGCATTTTGTATTTGAGCACTTGAAAAAGAGACCTGCAAAAAAAAAATAAGTGTGCAAAGTTTGACATAATAAATGACAAATGTAAAGCTTAGCTCCATTGTATTGGCGCTGTTGTGGGTCAAAGTGTCAAACTGTTACATCTTTGTCCTCTAGATGGCTACAAAACCTAAGAAATGAATATTTCCGCTTTTAAGCTTTTTGGCTATGGTAATTGTTAATTTTATTGCATTCGCAACCACTTATTGGCATCAGTCTACGTACTTGCAAACTGCCTCAAACTGCGCCATTATATAGCTAGATCTCGAAAACATTTATAATGATATATATCAGTGGTTCCCAAACCTGTCCTGGAGGACCCCCTGCCCTGCACATTTTGTATGTCTCCCTAATCAGACACACCCAATTTAGTTATTGCAGTCTCTACTAACGAGCTGATGAGTGTAATCAGGTGTGTTAGATAAGGGAGACATACAAAAGGTGCAGGGCAGGGGGCCTCCAGGACAGGTTTGGGAACCACTGATATATATATAATGATTTTAATTAAATGCTCACACAGTATTGTTACTGTGGTAATTTTCTCAGGTGAATGCAATTTTTGTTGGCAAGTGTTAATAGCCAGGTGTCTATAGCTGGAATCTAACTTTTATGTAATTGAAACGATTGTGGGGTGTATATACAGTATATGCCTATTTACCTGTATAAAGAATAAAACTACCAGCCTTTTATATCTACCTTCTTCAGGCGGGCTTAGTCTGAATTAACAGGACCCACCCACCATGTTTAGCCACCCCGTTTGACCGATGAGATATATAATTAGCAGGAAATGATCTCTGAGTGGCAGTAGAGAGACTAGCCTACCACAGGTTAAACATTATGGAAAAGTACCTTGCATTTTGTCTCAAATATTTAGGTGAAACATAAATCCCCTTTGTAAACAATAGTTTTATCATGTTTATTAACCAATGATAACATATTTGTGAAAATGGCTGTTCCTAGTAATTACCCATGCATATGCTGCTGATCCAATTCACTGATTCTATTTGGTGACCTATTTTCCTTTCACTCATATTCTCCCATTGCAGGATTATTTACATTAAGACAAGTTCGCAATTAGCCAGAATACGCAAATTATGCTGAAACAGAAGTCAGAGGACCATGCGACTCACCAAGGCCAAGGTATTTGCAAATCACTAATATGGGTAAACTGCCACAGATTTCATTAGGCACATATAAAGAACGTGAAAATGGCCAGGTCTTGTTTTAAAAAATGTATTTACATAAACTTTCTTATATTGCAAACTGAACAGTCAAAAACGTTTCAAAAAGTTAAATATTTGCATAAGCTGGTTACAAATAGAATACAACTATCCTAAATAGACTTGAGGGCAACCCACCTCAAGCGGTCCAAGCAAAAAAGACAAAAAAAAAAAAAGACCATAATCATGGAGGACCAGTTTTTGCATGGCACATGCTCATATACATGTTGTTGTAGACAGGCAGAAAAAGACACATAATTCACATGACCCTTGGATTGTAACCAGCTGTTATAAAAGTGAACAAATATCTACAGCCTTTTCTCTTGACAAATAAATGGTGTATAAAACAAGAAAGGAGTGTCAAAAGATTTAGTAACATTAGCTTCATAACAAGGAGGACACTGAGGAGCTTGAGCACAAAAGCAACTGAAAAGTTTCACTTTGCATAAATAAGAGTTGTTCCTTTGATTAAACAAATAATAATGTTGCTCAGTAAAACAAACTGACCGAACTGAGACGTTTAGTGCTTTCTTTATCTTTAGCCTCATCCACCTACAGTTTTCAGCCTAGCTCTATTAACATACCAACAATTTCATTCTAGTTCCATCAACATACCATTCCTTTCCAAAAATGAGTTCTCAGAGTAGTTCAGTAATTTACTACTTCTTTTCAAAAATCATCTTTCAATAGCAATTAACAAAATGTCCCTCAGATGATTTGTATACATACAAATCATCTGAGGGACATTTTGTTCATTGCTATTGAAAGATGATTTTTGAAAAGAAGTAGTAAATTACTGAACTGAAGTACTGTTTGAAAAGAGAAGGTCTGGTATGTCACAGTCACCAGACGGAAATTATGCAGCAAAGTGAACCAGAAATTAGCATGTTGGCCTTAGCTCTTTAAAAAAAAAAAAAGATACATTTTAAGTTGTTCTTCACATGCACCTCAGTGTATAGCACAATTCACACAGTGCTGCACAAAGAAAGCAAGGCAGATGAGGTCAGGAAATGGCTTTACAGTAGAGATGCCAGTATGAGTGACGATTTTTCCCTGAGCATGCCTCTCTCTTTCATGTTCACTAAACATGGCAGTCTTATGAAAGGAGGAACACACTGGGGAAGAACGCCCCTCTTTCCAATCTCCCACCAGTAACAGGATTTATAATAGGAAAAAACAGACTTGGTGTTTATCAAAAGAAAGAAAACAGAAGTGACCTCTTTTTCTGAGGTGGGCTGCTATATCTGAGCACAAGTAAAATGTTCCCAAGGACACTGATCTTAGCTGTTTGTTCTATTCTAAGTCAAACACAATAGAAGAGATTAAAATCTAAACATATCTAAGATCAGCTGACTAGGGAAACTTCTACAGATGCTCTGCGATTCATTATGATCTTCTCCAGCTTGTGAACAACTGGCATGGTTCAAACGTACTCCTTGCTGCTGCTGGGAGGTCTGGAGGACTTGGGGTACCTGGGAGATGATTTACCCTTTGGGCAGGAGGCAGCCAACATGCCTCCTCCCATTATGTCCAGGAATGCACCTGCCCAGGCGATGAAAATGGCCGCACCGAACTCATACCTATAGAAATAGAATATTATAATATGAGCTTTGACTTCCCTTCTTGGTAACAAGAGGAAGATAACCTATAAAATAGTGAAGCACATGGATAAATGCCTAAACAATTTGCTTGTGGTCTTCAACCACATTTGAACTTACTTCGTATTGACAGGTGTGAAGGGGTTGTAGAAGTCCTTGACGATTTGATTTGTAAACCAGCCACAGGCAACAATGCTACAGAGGGCTGAGGAATGGAAGAGAAGCGATAAATTAGTTACTTATGAAAAAAAAAAATTCCAAACATGTTTTTGACCGTTTCGGTCCACAAACTGGGTGTGAACATTTTAGTCATCTGACAATGTTAGATTCTGGAGCAATAAAGCATGGATTCCTAACCTGGCATGATTTCTTTTAACCTTGGCATTTAAAATCCTTATCTAGATTTTTTTTAAATGTATATTTTAAACTATTTTAGTATTAATTATGATACTTCTTTTACATTTTTATTACACACACATACTAGATATTATTGCATATTTTGGGGACCATTTTTGGGCTACATGCACACTTTTTTGTGTGCTAAAAAAGTACTGCATTACAAAATCAGCATTCATCTTATGATATTAAAGTGAACGTACCTCCAACAATGAGGATTATACCGCCTGTCATGGCAATGCGCGACTTTTTGACCTTGTCATCACCACCACAGTTAGTGCACTTCATTCCCATGCTGGCCACACCCAGTCCCGCTACTGTGAGAAGGATCGCGACGATCATCAGGGCACGAGTTGCCTGGAGAGAACCTGAAAGAGGGGGAGGGTAGAGAATGAGTGAGATACAAAGAGAAAAGGTAAATAATTCGGTCTTAGTGGAGTACATTGGTGACCGGGCCTTCCAGACTGCCCACATAAATAATAATAAAAATAATAATAATAATAAAATATTATTATATAATACGTTTTTTTTTTTTAACTAGGCTACAGGGAAGCTTATTCCCTTTATTGTTTATCATGGTTAAACTCAGTTCAGCACACAAAACAGGCAAGTGCTTTAATAGTGAATCAGAAAGATTATAGACAGACTAAAGCATTTTGAAATTTGACCTAATTCTCTACAGGCTTTTTGTTTTTTTTCCTCTGACTCACAAAAAAAAACCCTCCCCCCCTGCTACACCTGCAGTCAGGTGCAGCAGAGACCGGTTCCAACCGGAAGCCTCCTTTGAGAGCGCAGTGAGATTGTACACATATGTGGGCAGCGATTTGCCCCTTCCTTTGGAGAAGGAACAGGTTTAACCAGTCATGAGAACTTGGGTATTCCCGCAACAATCTATCTTTTTTCTTTTATTCTTTGTGGGTATGGTTTGGCTTTCAAAAGTGCAACACCACTTCACTTTTAGTATCAAGATGAATTAAGAAATTCTCTTTAAGAAATCACTTTATTAGGAACGCATCACCTGAAAAAATTTATATTAAAATCTTACAGGATAGCCTATACAAAATGGCTTCCTGGTGTTGTTACCTCACCTTGCAGTTTTTTTTGTTTTTTTTTCACTTTGCTTGCTCCCTGTTAAAATTCATGGTTCATCACTAACAGCAATACTACAGCAAGATATTAAATAGGCTATATCAAACTTTTGTTTGCATAACATAAAAACTCACTGATAAGAGTCTGTTTTACACAAGCTAAATCAACTGACTGATATGGTAATTGGTTAAATGACATTAGTGTGTGTAGACACCGAAGTGAGCCAAACGACTGCTTTCCATTAATCTCAGGTGTTGAGAGTGAAGAGGGGGATGAAATAAGGTAAATAAACATCACATAAGGCGCAACAATGCACTATTTGAGTTTAAAAAGCTCCATTGTCCGTGTTTAGGCGCTTCCACAAAGGAGTCCTCTTTTGGTTGTGTTTTAATAAGCTGTTGGCAAAATGCACAAGTCGTTCAAAGACAATGCCTGACTCCCCCACCCGATACAGGAGCACCGAGTTTCCGCGAGTGGAGGAAGGGTGGGGGTCACGCCCGTATAATCATTACTGTGAGTAAAAGCGTAACCCGACTGTATCACCCAACAATAAACTAGCATTGTACCAGTCAGAAAGTTCACCCTAATGTTAAAACGGTTTACGTTTTGTGCTTATTATAATGAATAATCTCCTATCTTGGCAACTCTGGCTTGAAAACCTTCACCGAATACACATTTCTGAGGGACGGCTGCCCTTTTTACCAACTTTGAGCTTCATTTGACCCAAAACAAATTAATATACACACAACAAAAATCCTTATGTAACAAAAGTGAAGTCAAAAGAAAAATCATTATCTAACACCGAACTAATCACACAAATTTTGTCATCAAGCCACAGCCAAAATGAGTTAGGGTGCATTTATTTATTAATTATTTTATTTGTACTTTATTACACCGAAACAATACAAAAACATGCTTTTTGTTTTTGAGGGAACTCGTGGAACAACAGGTGCGTGTCCTTATTATTGTAACACCAGAGGAGTTGCCGCGCAATGGCTGTAGGGCGTGGTAACAAAAAGCTTAAATATGATTTGCACCTTATATTTTACAAGTAATTAAAATAAATTAAAAGTTGTTTTAATAGTTAAAATTAAAAGTTGTTGTGTTTTATCAACAAATAGTTTAAACGTTTTAGTTGAATAGTTTGCTCTGCTAATATAGCTATATGACACTACACAAATAAATTAGATGAGTAGCTTGGCACCATTCGAAGCCAAAATGCTTGTATAATTTTCATCACAGTGTGAAGAAGTGATCATATGCCAGCCAGTTCGCTCAATTGTGAGCGCATGCGCGTTCACAGGTGTAGCTTTCACTAAGCAACAGCTTTCGGCAGTTTAAACCCAAAGCTAATGTAAACAAATAGTCAACTGTAAATTAAAGTACTCTTTAAGTACAGCCAGCAGTGTTGTCAATAACAGGCGGTTTGTACTTACCATCGAGTTGTAGGATGGAGTCGTACACCTTGCACTGCATTTGTCCGGTGCTCTGGAAAGCGCACGACATCCAAAGGCCTTGATACATCGCTATCGCTGTGATTATATTATCTCCAACGTAGGCAGACATCTTCCACTGGGGCAAGACTGTGCCAAAAATGAGCCCAATCAAACCCAGTAGCGATAGAGTAAATCCCAGGAGCTGAAGTCCTTTATTCGCCATCTTCTCACAATGAACTTAAAAAACAATACCTGAAAGCAGCAGTTCAGCAAAGAGCTATAATAATTCTCCAAATGAGCTCGGTTTTCGTAATCCTCCGACGTTAAATGTGTTTAAATATATGTATTTAAAAAGAATGTTAGGTTAAAAAATCTGGTAAGAGACGTTAAGGATGCCCGGACTCCGACACCTGTTGAATGAAGCCGCACCTTGAATATGAAATGAGCTGCTGATTTAAGCTTTTAGAGTGTCGTCCTCTTTATGGGCGGAGACTTCCTGAGTTTCGTCTTCGGTTCAGCTCCGTTTGTTGTGTAGAGGTCTGGGGGGTTTCGTGACGACACCTTATCGTAGTATGAGTAACGTCACTGGTTATCACAGATCACAGCTTGGTCTTCATACTTTCATGTAGGCTAGTACAATCTGTATAGCATCTTTCATGTCTCTGAACTGAATGTCAAGGTGTCTCGTTCTTTAGAAATTAATGCGACTCTGCCTAAACTCTTCTACAAATAATATATAGGTTACATTATGCAGTCATATGTGGGCCATATCATGAAAAGCGTGCCTTTTGTATTCCTCATGAACGTGTAAATAATGACTTAATGAAAAACTGACAGCACTGTTACTATGTGTTAGTAGTGGTATTTTATACATAACCAACTCTATTTATTTATTTTTGACCCATATGTGGGGTCATTGATATATGTATATATATATATATATATATGTATTTATTTATTATTATTATTATTATTTTTTTATTTTTTTTTATTTAAATTTTTGTAATTTATACATTTAATTTGATGCGGACACCAAAATGGGATGTCTCGTCATTTATACAGCCCACATGTAACCAAAGCTATTAATAGTTAATAGTGTTGAATTGTGTTTAAGAAATGTTATAAGTGTTGACACAACTAATAATACCATTGGCAGTCTTTCTCAAATAAACTAACATGGTGAATGCTATGCCCTGAGATGTACATATAGTATCAGTAATGTATAAAAATGTAATGAAATTGCACAGATAAATCTATACACATTTCACAAGAAAAAAACAAAAACACTGTGTTGACATATTTTTGTATTTGGGATTCAGTGTTTGAGCAAATGGTTGTGGTATTGAGTCACAAAAGCTACTGAGTCATACTTCTGAACCCCCATCTTAAGAGAAGTGCCAGACACAGTAAGAAAGTCATGACAATCTTACGCCTTAATCTATTAGATTGAGGAATTATTTTTAGACTTCAGTTGAGATGAGCAGCTGATGACTATTAGCCACAGAAAGTAAGACCGTACACTCAAAGGCCACATGTGAGACCTTTTACAGGAAATGCACCTCAGGTTCATGGTGTGTTAGTATAAATGAGCATATGATTCAAAAAGGCACAATATTGTTTGGGAACAGTTAGTTTGGTTTTAAAATATGCTTTATTTTTTTTTTGTTGCGTGATTTTTTTTGTCCCGCACCCTGAGGGTTCCTGTATACCAGTTTAAAAACCCGCAGCCACCCCAACACATTGTTTCAAGTTTTTAAACCCTTTTCATATTCAAAGTTCTTCTGCGTTGTTCTGACATGTCTTCACTGTTTTAGAAACTGTTAGTAAATACTAATTACAAAGTGTTTTCTTAGTAACTGCTCTGTAGTTCCATTCTCTACTTCAATGTAGTTTCCAGGGAAATGTTTGCACTTAAGGACAATTTTTCATTGCTGTTTGTCTAACCACATGATCACAAACATACAGAAAAAGAGAAAAGGGAGCGTCTTTAGGGATCGTACAAATTATAATGTCACAGGTTTCAGTCAAAAAAAAAATTCCTGATATGATTCATACACAAATAAGCATGTACAAGTGTGTACAAATGGATCTACACTTCCTAGTTTGAGTATATATGAAGCTGTTCACTAAAACATTTGCCTCCGCTCTCACAGGGGGTAGGGTTGTAAAGCACTGGTGGTTAGACAGGTTCTACTAAACCACAAAACACCAACCCTGAGCATTTCCTGGAATCTAATCCAAACACATTCATTCTTACAACATACAAGATCTCTGTTTCATATTTCCCTCCACACACACACAATCAAATATACACATCCACGTATTGCATCTCTTTACTATCTTATGCTCCAGTGAGACATTTCACACACTCCACCGGTCACTGTCTCAGAGAGCATGAGAAAATCGTAAGTTTATTTCTGACGTTGTGTGTGAATGCAAACCTCTTATAAATATCTTCATCATGGCAGTACAAGAATCATCTTGTATCTCGTTGTGCTTTTTCCTGAGCAGAGATTTGAATGTCACCTCTATGTTTCGGTGGTGGGGGAGAGGGGTAAGGGGGGAGGTCTTATTAGACCCACCCATATAATTGTTTAGAGTTCCAAGTCAAGTAATTCAAACTGTCAACTGATAGTGACTCATAGCTAGGAGGAAATGGGATGAGTATCAATTGAGAAGCTTGTAATTCTAACAACTACTGTTTTGTTTCCATGGTAATATTATCATGTATTGCTATATATAGTTTAATTAGCTCTGGGGTGTTTGCATACATATATTTCTTGTAGTACGTAGCACTATTATCACTTTGATCTTAACCTCAGTTCCTATTGAGATGAGTTTCATGGAAACTCGCTCTCGCTCTCTGTCTGGTCATAAAAGCAGTTTCTACTTACTACCGCCCTCTATTGGAAAAATCCCGCTAGTGTTCAGTTCAGCCACTAGGGGGAGTCATAGCCTTTTACTGTAGCGCACAGTCCAGGGTCTGAGAGCTCTGGCATTTGTGTTGTTCCTTCCTTTATCGGCGTAATGGATGCTGAACATCACCAAAATGTCTCAGCAGACTCTCTCTGTTTTTCTCTTTGTTCTTCCTTCTTGGGATCTGATAACAATAATGTCCATTTACATCCTAATGAGAACAAGAAGGTGCACCATGAGACAGAGAGAATGAGAGAATAAAGAACAGGAGAGAGTGTCTGGGAATAAGATAAAAGTGATGTTACCAGGGCCTCACATGGAAGGACAATGGAGGACATTAGGATAAATACTGAGTGTGTGTGTGTGTGTGTGTTTACATACAGTTGAGGCTACATACAGTTGATAAGTCTGAGACCACTATAGTGAATATATATATATATATATATATATATATATATATACACATACATACATATATAATATTTGTCTGTACCTTCTACCTCTCCTTCCACCCTGCTGTCCACTTCTTTTCTGTCCGCCTTCTTACAATTTCTCCTCTTGCTCTTTCCACTACACCAATGCTCTGCTCTCCTCTCCTCTCCTCTCCTCTCCTCTTTTTATAACATCCTCCTCTCTGCTCATCTCTTTCTACCTGTTCCACTCATTTTCTTTCTCTCATTACCCCCCATTTTGGAGAATATCCGCTGGACGTAAACAGCGTATGCTGTTCTATGTCAGCTGCGTCACACGGATACGCTGTTTCCGTTCAGATCAAATCACAACAATGTAGGAAACAGATCTGGCATGACGCAGCTGAAAAGTATTCTTGTATGTTTGCATACATATATTTTTTGTAGTATGTAGAACTATTATCACTTTGATCTTAACCTCAGTTCCTATTGAGATGAGTTTCATGGAAACTCGCTCTCGCTCTCTGTCTGGTCATAAAAGCAGTTTCTACTTACTACCGCCCTCTATTGGAAAAATCCCGCTAGTGTTCAGTTCAGCCACTAGGGGGAGTCATGGCCTTTTACTGTAGCGCACAGTCCAGGGTCTGAGAGCTCTGACATTTGTTTTGTTCCTTCCTTTATCGGCGTAATGGATGCTGAACATCACCAAAATGTCTCAGCAGACTCTCTCTGTTTTTCTCTTTGTTCTTCCTTCTTGGGATCAGATAACAATAATGTCCATTTACATCCTAATGAGAACAAGAAGGTGCACCATGAGACAGAGAATGAGAGAATAAAGAACAGGAGAGAGTGTGTGGGAATAAGATAAAAGTGATGTTACCAGGGCCTCACATGGAAGGACAATGGAGGACATTAGGATAAATACTGAGTGTGTGTGCGTGTGTGTGTGTATGTGTGTTTACATACAGTTGAGGCTACATACAGTTGATAAGTCTGAAACCACTATAGTGAATATATATATATATATATATATATATATATACATACACATATATAATATGTGTGTGTGTGTGTGTGTGTTTGTGTACCTGGTATTCCCTACATTATGAGGACCAAATGTCCGCACAAGTTTTGGTCCCCATGAGGAAAACAGCTTATAAATCATACAGAATGAAGTGTTTTGAAAATCTAAAATAGCAGAAAGTTTTCTATAAGGAGTAGGTTTAAGTGTAGGGTTAGGGTAAGGGGATAGAAAATACAGTTTGTACGTACAGTATAAAAACCATTACGCCTATGGAATCCTATATTCTCAGCAGACTCTCTCTGTTTTTCTCTTTGTTCTTCCTTCTTGGGATCAGATAACAATAATGTCCATTTACATCCTAATGAGAACAAGAAGGTGCACCATGAGACAGAGAATGAGAGAATAAAGAACAGGAGAGAGTGTGTGGGAATAAGATAAAAGTGATGTTACCAGGGCCTCACATGGAAGGACAATGGAGGACATTAGGATAAATACTGAGTGTGTGTGCGTGTGTGTGTGTATGTGTGTTTACATACAGTTGAGGCTACATACAGTTGATAAGTCTGAAACCACTATAGTGAATATATATATATATATATATATATATATATATATACATACACATATATAATATGTGTGTGTGTGTGTGTGTGTTTGTGTACCTGGTATTCCCTACATTATGAGGACCAAATGTCCCCACCAGTATAGCAATACCAGTAAATTTTGACCTTGTGGGGAAATTGTTTTGGTCCCCATGAGGAAAACAGCTAATACATCATACAGAATGAGGTTTTTTGAAAATCTAAAAATGCAGAAAGTTTTGTGTGAGGGTTAGGTTTTAAGGGGTAGGAAAGAGCAGCAGAATCTTTAATTGCACTCACTAGAGAAAGTATTTTGACAAATAATATATCCCATACCAATTTCTTTGTAGTGTCAGTTAAAGGGTTAATGAAAACATTACACTATAAGTAGTAGGTTTAAGTGTATGGTTAGGGTAAGGGGATAGAAAATACAGTTTGTACGTACAGTATAAAAACCATTACGCCTATGGAATCCTATATTGTCTGTACCT